CGGGTGCTACGCTGTCAGACAGCCAAGAAATAAGTTTGTCACGAGGCAAACCCCACTCCCACATGCAATTTTTGCGCAGGGAACAAATCCACAGGCATATCACGGTAAACCTTCTGCATCTTGCTGGCAAATTCCCTCCCACCTACCACTCCCCTGATCTCTTCACAGAAAAGTCTCCATCCTGGACATCCTCAGCACCTTTCTCTTTATATTAATTTCCTCAAAAGGATCAGACAAGGTGCCTTTTGAAACCGATAATGTTTTCCAAGAAGGAGTTTTATGTGCCTTTCATAATCCCAGAAGGGATTTATGCAGTTTCTTCCAGTTTCTCGTAATTGTGCAGTCACTGGCTTACACCAACAAATGTCTCAGGAGACAGACAACCTGTGAGACAAACTAGAAAGTGAGCATTCAGATCCATTAAACAAAAGTTACTCATGGGAAGTCTGGACTCAGATTCAGCACAATGGGAACCCATCAAATCTGAAAGGGACCAGGAAAGAAGCCACCTACAAGCCTGGGTTAGAGCTATATCAGAAAGGTAAGTGACCTAATAACAGAAAAAACCCTCAGACCAACAACACTAACACAGAACTTCGGATCCCTGGGCTACCAATCACTTGCTGTCCCACCTGCTTCCAAAAAGAGGATCTATGTGCTCAAAAGAGGAGTAAGGAAGTCTAGGTATCCTTCTTCTCTGCTCAAAAGTAAGGGTTATGTTTCAGGTTGCTAGGGCTTGGTTTTCTTTGGAGGGGGAAGAGGAACTAAGAAAGAAATTGACAAAGTTTTTCTCCAGGTCCCAAGTCCACACTAAATGCAGCCACCAAACTACCAAACGTACACACTGTCAAAACCAGACAACACAATACTAACAGAGCCCAAAGAGAAGATCATCAAGTTAAATCTGACAAGGTTTTTAGGAGAGAAAAATCTTTTAAGGTCCAGTTGGCAGTGATTTTAATAAGGAATCTAGGAATTTTCTCAAGGCTGCCATGTGATTCAGAAAACCAGAGCTCAGAACTGCTGCACACAGTTACTGTGACTTCTTTGTAAAAGGTTATTAACTCTGATCTTTAGTATAACATAGTAGTGGAGACAGATAAAAATAAGATCAAAACATATGACTCAGTCCCCAGATAAGGAGGACTCCAACTGAGAAACTGCTGCCCTCCAAAGCCACCCAGGCCACCAGGAAAGCAGACGTACAACAGCTCACAGAAAGTGGGCCAATCTTGAAATATTAGTATTACAACATGAGCCTATTCAAGCTGAATTCTTGTAGCTCTGGCAGGCAAGGAGCTAGAAATAGAACACTTCGGATTTAGGATCACACATGCAGAGATCTGCCTGTGAAAAACACCAAGAGCAAGTGCCAGAGAGCATTTAAGCAGAGACCTAGGAAAATTGTCAAAAAAGGGGAAAAAAAAGCAAGCTAACACACTTATCAACAAGAAAAAGCACATCAGTGGAGACAGTTCACTAGCTTCTTTCCAAAAATGACTTTGTTGCTTATTCACTCCCTGCTGCAGCTTAGGAGCCAGGACACAAATCAATTCTGGAACAGGTAACGCCTTGTTCCCCTTTACAGCAATGGCCAACATCAGATTAGCTGGGAGTGGACTTACTTCAAATGAGGTATCTCTTTGCACTGAGCAAAACCAGGCAGGTCATTTCTTAGGCCAGTATAAAGGGTACATTACACTTCTTTGCATTAAATTTGAATGACTGAATTTAAGTAAGTTAAACACTCAAGTCTGCTCGACTTGCAGGCAAATGGATTTGACAGTGCTGGTAGAGGTTTAAGGTATGTCGATGGGAACAGAAAATTGCCCCTCTTTCAAAAGCTATTTATTTATAAGTAAACAATGCTTTTTAGAATAGAAGCTTTTTTTTGCAGGCTGCTTCAGAAATCATGTTCATTCACACTTTAAGAGATTAGAGCAACAAGGGAGTGGGAATGTGCTGGAGCTCTCCCTTAAAATTAAGTTTCTTGCCTGGCAGCATAGAAGCGAGACAGATACTTACTTTGCAATTGTGGGTAAAGAACATTAATAATAGGCCCACCACCAAATCCTCCAGCTGTTCAGCCTAAGCACCAGAACAAGTACAGAACTACCCATTTCATCTTCCACAGCAGCATAAAGACGTGTATCCTGCTGTGCTTGGCTTTTAATCTCCTCCTTATAAGCCTCCATGTTTAGGTCAAGAATGTTTTGCTCCTGCCCAAAAAGTGATCTTCAAAACCCCACCTACCCAGCTAATTACAAAACTTCTCAAAAAAAAAAAAAACCCAGGCCTTTCCCCTTAAAGCGATTAAGGTATTAAACTGACAGCAATATCACACTAGGTGCCCATTGCACCGAATGGTGGTAGCAGGGACCTGAGTGGAAAAAAAAGACATACACGTGAGTTTTGAAGCAAGCCTGCCGCACTGGAAGGTCAATGTGATGGGAACAGAATGATTAAAAACTGTAAGCTTATTTATTTTCAACTCCTTACCAGAGAGTAACACGCAATTTGATTCTCACCCTTAATTTGTACATTCTCATGGGAATTTGGCAAGGTTGCTCCGAAGAAGACAGTTTGAAGAACTCTTGCAAAAGACACTGTGCTATGCCAGATCAAGCAAGCTATCAGTTATTTACATTCATTTCAAAGGACACAAAGGAACGCATTTATTTCTACCATACCTGCACTTTTTAAAGAAAAGCCAGTTAGGACAAAGCTCGTCCTAACACCAGGGCTTGTCCATACAGACCAACCAGCATAGCTCTTCTGGAGTAAATATTTAAGTATGATCAAACTGGCCTGAATTAACGCACAACTACAGAGACCATTCCAGGACACAGTGATCACAGGAAGGAACACACACGTTAGGAAATCATCCTACACTTGCCCTACTGGGACGTCTCCTTGTGCAGGCAAGGGAAGTCCTCTGGCTACCAGGGAAAGCGAACTCTGGTCTGCACCTTCCAAGCAACCTGGGAGAATTTTTAAGAATCCTATTTTAAGCACAAGTTTCAGGAGCCGCAAACAGGCATATTTGGCTTAGCCACACTTGCAGGATTAAAGCACACACCTAATTCTCCCAGCTGCTAAATGAAAGGACTCCTATGTTAACTAACACACAGGAGTGCATTTCATCTCTTTCAGGCAGGGCAAATAAAGCAACCAGCATAATATTAACTTCTTCAGACACATTGCTACAAACAAAACTAGAAAAAACACAAGTCTCGCTACAGGTTAAAAACCCATCATGCCATCTGAGTCTGAGTAACAGCAGAGGACAGTGGGAGAAGAACCCTATGCCTGCACATGCAGCAAAATCCATCTTAACCAGCCAACAGTTAAGTGACATAATTGAGTTTCCCAGCTCCAAACTGCAGATCCCCCAGTGCAGAAACCAAAGCCGAGGGAGGCTCTCCCTCATCTCTCCTTCAACAGCTCTGAGCCCAAGTAAGGTTTCCCCACTGCTACACAGAGGCAGAAGGAGATAAAGAAAACCACTGCTGCACTGGTCAGTAAAAAGCAGGGTTCACCTTCTATCCGTGAAGATGAAATAGGGACGAAGAAACCAAATTCAAAATCCCCAAATTGGGTTAAGCTAGAAGAAAGATCAAATGCCATGCTGTCAAAGCTCAGCAAGTGGACAAAACAGCACCTGAAATGTTAGTGGTTATTTAAATTTATTACCTAGAAAGACCATTCACCAATTTACAAAATTATTTTCAAGGTAACTTTTGCAGTCAGTAAAGGTGAACCCAAATATTCCCCGTTAGCTGAACTGTGGGGTCAGTGCAGCTGTAAAGATCTCCTCTTTCAGCTTTCAGACAGATCATCTCCCAGGGACTGAGCTGCTCTCCCCAAGTACCATCAGCTTCGTGGCATTCCCATTGCCTTCAGTTTTCCAGCACAGGAGTTCACATATCCAGCTCCTTTGATATTTCACTTAACGATTTATTTGAAAACACTTCCCTGCACAGGCCTTATAGCATTATTATCTGAACTACAGAGATGAACAGATTTAAAATGCAAAAAAGTTTTCTCCTTCCTCATAACCAAAAGCTCATAACAGGAACTAAGATGCAATTATGAGGTCAACACCTTCTACAATTAAGATGGGGCCAGAAAGCCTCAGTCCCATTCTGATGCTACTGACACACATGCTACACCAGAGAGGTAGAAATGGTCGTGTCTTTGCCGAGCCTGTGGTCCTGGGGGCGGAGGGAAGCCCAGGGAAAAAGACCCATAACTGAAGTGCAGCACCAACAGATGCTTTTGAATATATTTTAAGACCCTGAAACTATTCATAGAACCACAGATTCACTGAATGGTTTGGGTTGGAAAGGACCTTAAAGATCATCGAGTTCCAACCCCCCTGCCGTGGGCAGGGACACCCTCCACTAGACCAGGCTGCTCAAAGCCTCATCCAAAGCATCAATCAAAATATCTGGAAAATGAGCACAGAGCTGAGGTCAGCCGGCTGAGCCCATGAATGGAGCCAAAACGCCTTGTTTATCTCAGCACGTGTGCACGCACCAAGCCTGGAAGATAGGGGTGACCTACCCGAGCAGCCCACCCGCTCCTCACTGTCAGGTCAGCTGAAAAAGCACCGAGAAGACACAACCAAGTAACGGGCGCGGATTCCCGTCAGCGGTTCTCACTATAACAGCCAGATGAGTGGAAAAAGCAAGAAAGAAAACAACCTTGCTTGGCACCATGCCCATACACGCATCCCAGTGCAGCGGAGAAAAGAGGCTGGGGACACATACCAGCCGCGTATCAGCTTTCTAGCCCAGGAAACGGGCAGATTTGGCAGATGCCTAAACACGGGCCACTCTCTGTCCTGAATGCACCCTCCCAAACCCCTCCACCACCAGGAACCTGAGACAACTTCTCTGCAGAACTCCCTCGCCTCCCCGGCCAGCTCGCTGTAGGAGGGCAGATGCTCACCACCCCCAAGCAGCACTCCCACACCCCCACCACAGGCACAGGCCCACCTTTCTTGAACTCCTCCAGCATGGCATCAAGTTTGGTGTCGTTGAAGACAAAGTGCAGCGGATGGTTGTAGAAGCGGGTGATGGTCTTGAGCGGAGTGCAGTCATCGGGGTCCACAAAAGCCAGGTCCTTAACGAAGAGCAGGTCCACAATGTTGGACCGGTCGCCCTCGAAAACAGGGATGCGGGTATAACCGCTCTCCATGATCTCGGACATAGTGTTGAAGTCCAGCACACCCTCGGCAGCAATCATGAAACAGTCTCGGAGGGGAGTCATCACATCCTCCACTGTCTTGGTGCGCAGCTCCAGGGCTCCTTGGATAATGTTGAGCTCCTCCTTGACTAGATCATTATAAGGGTCGGTGACCCGCAGCATCTCCAACAACTTCTCACGGTTATAGACCGTGCCGATCTCCTGGCCCAGGACACAGTCCAGCAACTTGCTGACAGGGTAGGAGGCCGGGAAGGTCATCATCATGAAAAACTTTGTGAGGAAGATGGTGTTGGCGCCCACGGCCAGGCCGTGCCGAGAGCAAATTGCCTGCGGCACGATCTCGCCGAAGATGACGATACCGATGGTGGAGACCACCACGGCCACCAGCCCGGAGCCGGCGATGTCGTCCAGGAGGATGGTAAGCGTGGTGTTGACCAGGACATTGCCCAGCAGGAGGGAGCAGAGCAGGTAGTTGCCCTGGCGCCGCACGGGCTCGATGCGCTTGGCGTAGTTCTTCTCCTTGTCCGTGCCACAGTTCTGCACAATGCGCAGCTCCATGGGGTCCAGGGCCATCAGGCCCAGGTTGAGGCCACTGAACATGCCCGAGAGGCAGAGGAGGAGGGAGATGAAGATGACCTGCAGCCAGAAGGGCAGCAGGAACTTCTTCTCCTCGCCCACGATCATCTTGGTGTCCTCGCCGTCGTGGTAGATCCAGGTGGTCTCACCCCATGGTGGGGGTCC